TTAAATGAACGTAATAACTCGCAATCAGGTCACAGTTGTCTATAAATGTCATTCTGACGTCACTGACCTCTGTTTTGTCTCCACAGATAATAAATTGAGCGAGGCGTCAGGCGGAGCTGTTGAGAACGGAGAGCACAGTGAGGACCAGACGCTGGAGGACGGAGAAACCAATGAGGAGGTGTCAGAGGCGGTGCCTGTAGATGAGAACCTCTTCACCGGGGAGGATCTAGACGAACTAGAGGAGGAGCTCAACACACTGGACCTGGACGAGTGAAGACTGGGACTGTTGCATCATTCATGAACTACACATGGCTTGATGTGAATGACAATATTTTCACAAATAACTACCACCGGAATTGCCATGTCAGAAGCCGCTCTGCCTGCAATAAGCACCCTCATCACTCGATGTCCCGGGACGCTACAGGAGACTCTGGAGTAGATGTGGCTCTTGTTCTCTCTCCGATTTAATTATTATAATTTTTTTAATTGCAGTCTACCCCAAAAGCACAGTCAGGTGAGGGTTTGGTTCTTCAGCAGGTACATACTCCAAATATTTATGAGGCTGTCGATTATTTGATATTTCTGCGTTCTCTTTTGAAAGATTTCATTAAATCTTTGTAAGGTCATGTCATTGAAATGATCCAACATAAATCCTCTTCAAGACGTTCAAGCACTATTGGAATCTGGTTTCCTCTTCTCTGCTGTTGAAATGTTGCTTTAATGAAAACAAAGGTTCAGTCGATCGGTCTCATTTCAGTTTTTAACTTGTAACCAACTGCATGCCTGTATCAGGATCAGAATGTAACAGTGAATAAGTGTGATGCTGACATTCAAGTGTTCAATAATCAGTTGATCAGATTGAGGTGTTGAATATGAAGTCTCTCGGATGCAGATGTGGCATCTGGCCTTACAGAAGGAGATGTGGATGACGACATCATTACTAGTCTGGTTTGGTTTTTGAAGTGGTTTCAAGAAGTGTGAGCGAAAGAGGTGAGCTTGTGAGATGAACTAGTAACTTGTCTGTCCTTTTGTATTCAATTGTTTTAAATTGCCCTCCCACCAACACACAGAAATTGTAAATAAAAGGATATCAGATACTGGCTTTGAGTTGAAATGTCTAATTGTAACTTTTGATTGAGAATAGGTTTATTTAAGCTTAACTAAACATCTGAAGTATGTTCGGAAAAACTTAAACATGCAGTCTGGTCTAGATATGGACTGCTTTGTCCTAAAATGAGTGATTACATTGTGAAATATGGGTCTGTAACAAACCCAGTCCATTAATTGTTACCTGAATACAGATATATATGTTATGCAGTCGTGCTGTTCTTATCACATGGTCTTATCACTAGTTCCATATAAAGCTTAAGATTTTAATCAAATTAATTACATTTGCCTGGAATCACAATGGTTTTATGACATCTTAAAAAGTTTACCAGTTCACTCGACAGTTTTAAACCGTTTTAATTTAAACATTGCATATATATGTTGAAAAAATAATACTGCAAAATATACATTCACTGGCCATGTTTTTAGAGGAAGAGTAAAACTACAGTTGGTTCAATTAATAAAAAGTTTAAAAGAACAGCATTTTTTCAAAATAGAAGTATTTTATGACACTATACACTACTGTGTTCAAAACTTTGGGATCACTAGTTTTTTTTTCTTTTTTTTTTATTCAGCAAGGATGTTAAACTGATCAAAAGTGATCAAAGTAAAGACTTGTTGGGGAAGATTTCTGTATTTAAATATTTTAAGTAAATGCTGTTCTTTCTAACTTTTTATTCATCAAAAGAATTCTGAAAAAAAAGTATCACAGTTGCCAACAAAATATGAAGCCGCACAACTGTTTTCAACATTGATAATAAATCAGAATATTAGAATGATCTCTGAAGGATCATGTGACACTCAAGCCTGAAGTAATAGCTGATGAAAATTCAGCTTTGCATCACAGAAATTAATTCTGTTTAAAAGTATATTAAAATTTAAATTGTAATATTTCATCACTGTATTTTTTTCAGTATTTTTGATCAAATGAATGCAGCCTTGATGAGCAGAAGAGACTTCTTTAAAACAAAAAAATATCCCAACCCAAACATTTGAACGGCACTATATTGATCTTCATCAGTAATGCCAGTTGGCTATTTTTCTTTCATTTTAAATGAAATGTAAATCAGCAAATATGTATTTCTTTGATGCATTCCGCAAATATTAATGGATTTTATTCCTGTGGGCTTTGTTCTGAAGAAGGAGGAGAAGAATGACAAGATCTCACTAGAGGATTTGATAGAGAATTACTCTGGAAACATTCTTGGCCTGAAAGAAAAGGAAAAGGCAGGAGAAACTGACTAAAGCAGAGCAGGACATGGAGAGAAAGAAAGCTGGCAGAGCACTTGGGGTGAGTGAAAATCATGAAACACTGATGTTCATCCTCTATTTGCCTGATTTAAAAAAAAAAAAAAAAAAGTAACTGAATGAAATGGGTATTTTGGCGGTGATGCTGTGGTTTGACCAGAGGGTGGCAGTAAAGCTTGTGCTCACAGATCCTGTGGTTGCTGCTGTTTTACTGTGTGCCTGTTTCATAAAACAAGTTTACCAAATAAGCCAGGCTTATTTCAGTTAGTCTGACTTATTGTGAACCAAATCAACTGACAATAAGTCAGACTAACTGAAATAAACCTGGCTTATTTGGTAAACTTGTTTTATGAAACAGGCCCCTGGTTCTTCAAGACTCTTTCAAGTTGTTGTCTTTTGTGTTAAGTGACACTCATCTCTTGCTTTCATGTCCTGCAGCTCAGTGGAAGGGAAGGGTTTGAGTTCAGACCTGAGCTTGTTAACGATGACAATGAGGAGGCTGATGATACGTGGGAATGTGGAGATGTTTATTACCAAAGCTCTACCCACAAATCACAAAGATGGTGAGGCGCCTCTGAAAATCTTTCTTAAGTTGATCACTTACAGAGCCATAAAAGTTCTATAAAAGAATCCAAAAACTTTTTTGAAAATTGTGGCAGTTGAAAAATCACATACAAAGCCGTCTCCTGTTATATATGAAAAATAATTTGAAGTATAGACAGACATATTTTTTTGCAGCGGCTGCAGTGAATTATCGAGTGTCTCAAACTGAATTGATCTCATAGTCAAGGTTGGTCATAACATAAATATATAATAGAATACTTGAATCTGATTGGTCAATAGTGCCATCCATTGTGTTGTATGTTGTAGTGGACTGTTTTTCTTCTTTGCAGAAGCTTTAAGACAATACACAGGAAAGATTATAAAATAATTTCAGCACTCAATATTTAATTTACATGTATTTATTTATTAGGTGAGTGGGGATCATGTAGTCATCCGGTCATTATCGCAGAACCAACCCCAATAGGGCCTGTATATGGAGCGTATAATGAGCAGCTGGCTGGCAACAGACTGTTAACAAAGTATTTCCTCCATTTCCATTGGTACAAAGCCAGTGTCAAGACATTTTAAACCCAGCATCCTTCTGTTGTCAGTGGCCAAAAGACAAAATAAAAACAAATAATAACAACCAGTTGGATTTCTGATAGTTCTTTTTAGTAATTGGAGTATAAAGAAATCATGTTTCTTGTATGATAATAACCCTGTGGACTTGGATTATGTAATTCTGTGACAGTCCTGCAGTGAAAAAAAAAACAAAGATGCACAAGTGTTCAGTAGGTTTTTTTGGTTAGTGAAATTAATACTTTTATTCAGTATTAAATTGATCAAAAGTAAAGACATTCGCAATGTTACAAAATATTACTATATAAAATAAATTACCACAAAAATATTAACCGTTGATAATAATTTAAAAAATGTTAATCAAACACCAATTCAGCATATTAGAATGACTTCTGGAGCATCGTGTGACACTGAAGATTTGAGTAGTGACTGCTGAAAATTCAGCAAATTCCATCACTGAAATAAATGATACATTTTATATAATGCATTAAACAAATCTATTAAAATAGAAAACAGTTATTTAAACTATAATAATGTTCCACAGTATTACTGTTTTTACTGTACTTGGTGAGACTTCTTAAAACATTTAAATGGTAGTGTGCTTCTGAAAATACAGACAATGAATTTCTGTTAAATTAGAACATGACTTTTCTGTTGAAAATAATTTGAAGGCTTTTAAAGCTACAAAACATTTGCCCTATATGGCATTTTGTTAAACTTTAAAACATTTGCTAGATCTAGCAAGTCATTCCTATTCTAGTAAGCCCTAAAAAGTCAGAACACCTTATTGGAAAATGACAAAGTCATTCAAAGTGAAGAACACGTCCATCGTACAGTGAGTCTAATCTTGATGCGCACCAGGCAAACATAATTATTCTGCCACTCTGCCATGTATCACATGGTCCCCAAAGCCCCTTTGACCACACGCATGACTGGTCAGCTCTAAAACAAAAGTGACTTTGTTCCCTAGAGAGTGAGAATGTCGTTTATGTTCCAATTTGTAACTGGTGCCTTTTATTTCCTCAGGAAACACAATCTTTTCAAGCCTTTTACTCTATGACATCGTATAAAACACCAGTTGTTCCATATATATTTGAATTAACTGTATGTTAAGGGTCGAAAGCAAGCCTCTTTACTTGTAAGACAAGCCAACTGGACATAAAAAAATCCCCCAATGTCTTTATGCAGAGTCTATGGAGGATCCCAGGGGGATTTACAGACTGCATTCTTTTTTTTTTTTTTGGAGAAAGAGGCATGATTCTTTTTAAATATGCATGAGAATTCTAAAAGATACGTTTATTAACAAATTTAACAATGTTGAAAAAGTGGGAGAACATTCTGTTGTGAAAAGGTTATATGGTTTTACACTTCGGTATGTTATAGCCAAATTAAGCTTTTTATTTTTTGTAGAACTGTTATGTGAAATACATAACAGTTTATTTAGTATTTTATTCAATACATGTTAAACTGAATTTTCATGTATAGGTTTTATTGTAATTTTATAGAAATGTTACCATATCTCGATGTCGGTTAATGGTGACATTGACATGTAGATATAAAAATAAACTATTTTTAGTTGGATTTGTTTTATTTCTAAATAATATGTTCATTTTAATATGATTTAATTAATCATTAGGTTTTCATCAATTCACTTATCCACTGCAGTTACAAACATAATTAACCCAGTTTGGGAATTGACATAATTAATTAATGTTTAATTTCCTGTTGTTGAGAACAAAAAGTGGAATATATATATTATATACACACACACATTTATTTTTCTCGTTGTGTTCTATGAATATGGTACAATATAATTCCATTCAAAACTATGTGATAAAAAACGTTAGGTTAAAAGTAATCAAAAGGTAGTCAGAATACATTAGCTAAATGAGTAATTTAATGGATTACATTACTAACAACAATTTTCATCACAGTAAAGGACTATCGTTTCTTAAATGTTTGTGTGTATGTATATATATAATTTTTTTTTTATAATAATGCATACTATTTAGAATGTATAATAAAATTATTCAGTATTATGTAATTAAAATGACAGATTTCCTTGTTACAACTCCAGGTGGTATATATAATATTATTGCGTTTTAGTGTTAGTATTTAACAAAAGCAATTAACACACATTTTACCCTGTGCTTCCAGGTTAAACATACTGGTCGGTGCACCCAGGGCAAACACATCTGATCAAACCCCGTCAACAGTCACTGAGAGGGGCGCTGTCTTCAACTGTCCCTGGCACAAAAGTGGCTCATGCACCCAGATTGAGTTTGACAGCACTGGTAAGATGCAGCACTGTGTCATAGTGCAGTCTTTGCTCCAACATGCTGTTATTTAAAGCTTTATCTGTCTGTCTATTGATTCACATTGCATGCTAATGGAAGAGGTTGTGTTTGTCAGATTTATTAAAGGACCTTCTGAGTAGCCTGTGGCTTTTTAATGATTTATTGGGTCATATATCAGCTTTGCTCGAAATATTTTCAATAGGTGGGGGAAAAATAACAGGCGAGGGAGTCTGGGATCATTTCAAGGCTCATCTAGGATTGTAAGATTGTTGTTGCAGAATGTTTTGAATTCACATGCTTGGCAATGACCTACAACAGAGAAGGGTTTTTTTTTTTTTTTTTACCATTCACAAAATTCATGTGCTGGCCTACTAACCAGTTTGCAGATTCTTCACACTAACAGGACTTTGTTCAGCCTTACATTGCTCTGAGGTGAATATAGGCACCAGTTTTTTTGTGCCAGATCTCATTGGCATTCAGTTACCGTTATAGACTAGTCTGGCCTGATTTACCCTGCCAGCCAAGCTGGATTGCTAGAAGAGGAACTACCAGACAAACAAAAAGGTCTTCAGTTGGATTATCTCAGTATGCTTAGAGTTCTCACCAACAACTGAACTACTCCTCTTTGTGTCCTTTTCACCCTTAAAGAAATTCTTGGAAAAAGAACCAAGTATAGTGTAGATTTAATGGATGCTGTGCACCCAGGGTGGAGTAAGCAGACAAGTTTGAAGTATATAATTAAATAAATATATTTTGTGGAAAAAAATATTTATTTATGCTAAATATCCAACCAAATTATTTAAAAAATAATTTTTACAGTGCAGTTGTTAATGACAAAATAGCTTTAGTAAATAAATATTATTGCTGTTTATTGATTAAATTAATTCATTGATTGATTTAAATTAAATACCAAACCAAATGGAAAGTGGAAACAGTTGTTAATGACAAATTACTGTAGCTTCAGTATTTCACTAGTATTTCAGTTATTTATTTATTTTGAATAGCGCACATTTTTAGACCTTTTCTCTGAGCTAATATGTTATTTTTAATTCCTAATAATAGTACAGTTAGTGGATTGCCAAGCTATACATATCTGTTCTCATTTTTGTGTGAGCACTTTAAGTGTCTGGATACCTATTGGGGCCACAATATTGTCCACTGACCTTCAAGATTTTAGATTTTTTTTTCTTTCAGTGCACTTACTGCAGTAGAGTAATGTTTATATTTGTTTCTTAATGACTTTTGCAAGAAAGAAGCTTAAACATTCTTCTGTTAAGCAACTGCCAAAGCATAACTGTGTCCTGACATGTTTTTACTGTGAATGATGTGGCTTTACAATTGTGTTCTCTGTGCTGGCTGACCCGCTGACTGTTTGAGGAGCTGGAAAAGTCTAGATTAGAGAAAAATGTCAGAAGTATGAGATGGAAAACACTGTGTATGGAACAACGCTCATGCTGAGCTGTTACAGCTGGGTTATATAACTGTGTTTCCATTGAGCCGCAGTACCGTCAACTCCCCTTTTGTGTTGTTTGGCAATAATTATGTGCTTAATTCTAGTAAAGCCTGGGAGTTGTTGACCATGGGCTGTATGACTCTGTTGACCATGAGAAACACCGGGAAATTCCCAGCCCAGTAGCACAGACAGATGAACAGCTGGGGCGTCCTGAGGCTGAGACTGTGGCTGAGATGAACCAGCCGCAGGGAGGGAATATCTTTTTGGTTATGTGTGTGTGTGGGTGTGTGTGTGTAAGGATCACGGCAGTACTAGGAAAACCTTCAACTGCAAAGTATTGTTGGAAGAGCATTCATTTGGAATCCTAGAGTAAATATTACAGAACTAAAAGAGTGATTTAATGATGTCAGAATAATGTTATAATGAACAAATCACTGACACTTCTGCAGAAGCACTGAAAAAAACGTTCATTTTCTATAAATCATCCATCCCTTAATATGATTATGCTTTCAGTTACCATTAAGATTTTAGTAGTCTGAGCTTCATAACATGTTTTTGCATTTTTTTAAATCCAGAATTCCACATTTCCCCTAAAATGAGCACAGAAATTGTAAAAAAAAAAAGTTTCCCTCTGGGCCTACTTCTCTTATTATTGTCACTAGAGGTTCATTGTGCTTGTTAATAGCAGGAAAGGTATAGGGTTTAATTCTATCATGCCATGAATAGATTCAGCTGTCACTCTACTTGACCTAGGATTGAACTTCAGATGGTTTGGTAATGAACAAGATGAGAGAGTGTTTCATATCAGCATATCAACTCAACGTTTTGAACTCTGAGGCTTCTGTCATATCAGACCTTTTGAAATCAGTTGTAATTTGAACACGCCAGTGGATGAGATTGTAGTGATGGGAAGAGCTGTGTAGTCCACTACAAAGGAAATGATGACAGTCTGATGATTCTAATTAACTGACCTAATTTATATTTCCGTTCCTCCCTCCATCTCCTCCTTTCCTGTTCTCCCTCCCCCTGTCGTTTTCTATCACAGATGACAGGAAGAATTCCAATGGACAGCAAATGGAATTCAAGTCAAATCAATGGTTTGGGGCCACTGTGCGTTCCTCTGGGGACCATATTCTGGTGAGTCTGTCTGTGGAGGGTGTGAAAGTTGCTCTGAAAAAAGATTGTACAGAGCTCAAAAAGGAAAGAAAACTGCTGCAACAGAGCACGTTTTTGTTTTATGGACCATAAAAATATTTTATTCGTAAAACAGTTTTATATGCATCAGAAATCCCAGATTAAAAGGCAGTATGTCAAATTGGAATTATGTAGTCTTTATTGCAATATTGTAAGAAGCTGTTGCCTCTTTTATTTTGAAGTACTTTGATCTTGTCTTTCAGTGTTGATGTGGCACTAAAAATAAATAAGATTTAAAGTAATTAGATAGTTTCCAACATGCTGTCTGGAAGAACTAGGTTTGAGCTGATTTACAGAAAGAACATGATTACTACTCTTGTATTTATTTGCACATCTCTTTTTTTTTTTTCAGGCATGTGCTCCTCTCTACCAGTGGAGCACGTATGGATTATCAGAGAGAGAGCCTGTTGGGACATGTTACCTGAAGAAAGGCAATAACATTGTGGAATATTCACCCTGCCGCTCTAGTATGTACATGATCACTGCTCTTTACCTCAGACTGCTCATGCCCTTATTGGGTCATATCTAGTAGGCTCCCTCAGAAATGTCTTAACTAAGATTAATGGAGTATCGTAGTTGTGTATCATCTCCTTATCACTCATGGTTTTTAAGAGTGTGAGTTAAAGTTCTCACCAGACAATGTGCCAGTGTGCATGTGGTTATGACACTTCCTCTGTCTGAAGTTTGCCTTCCTTTTTCTCACCTTTCTTTCATTCTGAGACTTCCTTAAAACGATTTCTGCTTATATATATATTTTTTTACATCAGACTCAAACTCACCTGAGGGACAAGGATTTTGTCAAGCAGGTTTCAGTGCTGACTTTGTGAAGGTATTAAATTCACAGAAATCTGCTTCTATATATATATATATATATATATATATTTATATTTATATATTTATTTATTTATTTGTTACATTTTATATTAATTTTAACCCCAAAAATATTAGGACACTTTTTTCATTACATCAGAATTTTCAACATTACATTATAACAAAATATAGAAACAACTCCTATCAAACCATTATAGGTTTGATAGGTAACCATTATATAAACCCATTATATCTGTTGTTGTTTTTTAATGAAATGTTTTATTTATTGAGTGTGCTCTTTCTTTGCAACATTAATAATGAAATTGTTTTAGTTATTTAGATATTGGGTACAATGTCATTCTGTGCTACAGTAGTTTATATACTAAAACATTTTGTCTGGCATTTTTACAACAAGAATCATTATATTGTTAATATTATTATATTAATATAACTTCATTATATATTATATTTTAATATATATATTATATATTAATTAGATATTAATACAACTGTTTAAGGATCACAATGCAGCCCACAAAAACTAATTACTTGTAATTTTTAAATCTTTACCAGTCCTTGCCACCATCCTTCAAACCACTTGGTCATCTAAAATATAATAATTTTAATTATCTGAAATATAATATATTATTATATTTTAGATTTAAAAAAAAAAAAAATCTAAAATATAATTATATTTTAGATTTAATCATTGAAAATATAATAACATTTAATATGATCACTTTTTCTTTTATATATATATATATATTACAGAATAAGTATGTTGATTCTTTTTTACATAAAAATATCTGTTATGCTGAATGACAATGGAACATTATTTCACCCATATTTTGACATTTTATTTTCACAAAAGGTATTTGAAACATTTATGTAAACATTTGCATTTAATATGCTTTTTAAGTATATAAAATCACTTTCATAAATTAAATTTGGCGTGGACACTAAAATGGGACATCTCTTCTTGGACTATATCTACTCTATATATATATATAGCTGCTTTTACATTGCGGTGTATGTTATTGCCTATTCTTGCCCAAACTTGTACAGAATGTATGAAAACATGTGTTTATGTCTCCTTCAGAAGAATCGGGTTGTTATTGGAGGACCAGGAAGCTTTTATTGGCAAGGTAAACTGATTTATTTGATTATCCCTCTGTGAATTTGACATTGAAAAGCATAATGGAAAAAAGGGAAACAACAATGTGCTCTGTCAGGATTTTTTGTGACTCAAAGAATGTCTGCTGTGTCTTCAGATATAGCATTCACACAAAACCGGCCAGTGAATGTTTGCACAACAATGGCAATGCATGTTTAAATTTGCAAATGTGTCTTTGGTCCCCGCCTGCCAGAGAAATGCTGCTCAGAGGAGAGGGAGCTATGTTTTTGAGTCAATAAATAATGCAGAATGATATGCTGTCTCCTTCCGTGAAGATGCGCCTGCTGTTTCATTGAAAGGTTTTGTGTTGCGCTGTGCAATGTTGAGATGGCTGTTTACCGAATCTCAGCTCTGTTATGACCTCATAGGGTGGGGTCATGGTAGGAACCGTGCCCAGAAAAGGCATTTCATCTTTAACACATCTTTCATGAATTTCATGACCTGCAGTGATCATTTTAAAGGTTCCGTTTAAAACCTTTCTAATAGCCTTTTGTGAAAACTGTTTAGTTTTTCTGCTGAGTCTCTCTTTTTCCTGGTGGTATGGTAATTATACACCCTGCTGAGAGTAAAATGCTTTCAGAAAAGTGAATGTAATTGTGTGATTGATAGTAAGCTTGGTTAGACTTGAACTTCTTATTTTCACTTGTTTACATTTTGTGAATGAATTCCTGCGTTATCTGCACCCTGCATTATGTCTCATTAACTAAATTATTATTTTGCTACAAAAAGGCAACAAATGTGGGGCACGTTTGGGAATTGTGCTGGTTACTCAGTAATTTGAAGTAATTGTAAAATGTGTGGTAAGTACTGCCGCTGTAGTTTACATAGAGCACGTGCAATCGCAAATCTCGAACGTGAAAATAAAACGATCGTGCATTGGAAAGCAGTTTCAATGCCCCGCATATTAATAGCGGCTCCCTGATGCCCACATTTTATATACAGTATAATTACCCAACGATATAACTGCGAGACAGTATTGAAATATATATTTTCCCTGTGTTTCATTCTTGCTGTGTGAGCTACTGAAATGAGCGCACTGTGAAACAGCCAATCAGAGCAGAGCTCAACATTATTATTCATGACGCTTCCAAATAAGGTCAAAACAGACCATTTAATACTAGGGACAAATCCTAGGGTTGTAAATGGATATGTAAAACCGTTTCTGGAGATTTTTTGCCCTTACCTAAGCCACATACCTTCTATGTAGATATCAGAGAACAATTTAAAATATTGTATCAATGCATTCTATGGCACCTTTAAATTATTTTAGCAGTACATTTAAATGAACAGACTGAAGGAACTTTTTTCTGTTTTCGTCTTACCTCTCTTTGCTGATGGTATGATAATTATACAACATGCTAAGAGTAAAATGCTTTCAGAAATGTATGACACAGTGACCTAAGCTAACCTTGGATAGACTTGAAATAAGTCTTTATTTTGTTGTGTTTACATTTGTTAATGTATTCCTACATTATCATTTAAGCCTCATGAGTTATTTTTCTCTGGGAACTTTACTGGTTACTCAAATTATTATTATTTTTTTTTTTTAATTTTCAGAAAATGTATAACTTATTTTTAGTGATACATTTAAATGAACAAACTGAAGAAATGTAGCCCCTGAAATAAATTAGACTTAAGTAAGAGATCATTTGAAGGGAGTGTGTTTGATTATTGCATCAGCTCGCACTGTCGTAAGGCTGTGTGAGCAATAAAATGTAGCGTAAAACATGTTAATGTACTGTAAAAAAAAAAAAAAACTTGCTGCTGAAAAAGCTACACTGTTTTAAAAAACCTGAGCTCCTGTTACACTGCTGAAAAATGAAGTTAGTGGCATCACAACATTTAATTATTTACTCCCTAACACTGATGTTGCGAGAGTCTATATTAGTCTAGTTAAGTTTAAAGACCATAAGAACAACAAAATGCATGTAGTACAACCATATTTATAGTAGTGTTACATGACTGAGGACGATGTGACTGTTTAGAATACATTTTGTTAAGCATGTTTTTACTTGTAACGTGTACATGTCTGCATATATTGACACCTACATCTTTCTGGTGTGCTAAACATTACATGCAGGCTGAAGAAATCTCTATTACCTGCACACTCCATTTCAAATGTGTGTTTCATATTTGTGCTTTCCTAACTGTTTTTTGTCTTTCTAGGTCAGCTGATCTCAGATGACATCACTGAGGTCATCAGCAGATACAATAAGGAGTTTTTTACTCCTTACGGTAACCAGTTATCAACCAAGTCAGCCGGAGCTCAGTATGATGACAGTTATTTGGGTAAGCCTGTGTGCGTCTTTTGTTTTGATATTTCTTAAAGTTGTAATTTTGTTTTGTGGTGGTGCACTGTTACCTGGAAACCAGGAGTAGAGCTTGCTGTAATATTAGGTTACATATGTAATGAATGTTTAGGTGTTTTAAGTTGCAGTGATCAGAAAATACAAAGTAAACAATCGCCAGTGCAGTGCAGATATTAATGTCATCGTTTGATTTGCTCTTAGGTTACTCTGTGGCCGTTGGTGATTTTAATGATGACGGTGAAGTTGGTAAGATATTTAATCATTTTGATATGGTTAATATTTTGGAAATGATAAATAGATGGGATCGGTTAGATATTGTTTTTTTTTGGTAAGGGCACATTAAATCAAAGTCAATAATGATGATGGAAGACATTAATAATGTTACAAAAAATCACTATTGTGAATAAATACTGTTCTTTTGAACTTTCTGTTCAGCAAAGAATCCTGAAAAAAGTGTAATGTATAGTTTTCAGAAATTATTAAGCAGCACAACTGTTTTCAACATTGATAATTATAATAGATTTTTCTTGAGCACCAGATCAGTATATTTGAATGATTGCTGAAGGATCATGTGACACTGAAAACTAGAGTAATTGCTGATAAAAAAAAATCAGCTTTGCATTACAGGAATAAATTGCATTTTAAAATACATTCAAATAGAAAACATTATTTTAAATGGTAATAATATTTCACAGTACTGTATTTTTTAACAAATAAATGCAGTTTTTTTTTTTTCAAAAACATAAAAAATCTAATAGACCTCAAATGTTTGAACAGTAATGTAATTTTAAGCACCCCACAACCACAAGTTGTCAGGGGCTTGTTTTAGCTGGTCTTTACTGGCCTGCTCTGAATTCCAGCCCCATAGTATTGCAAACTAAAGTAGTGCATTACGTGAAGTGCTTAAATCAGATTTTTCTCTACATTGAAATCAAGAAACCTCTCTGCTGAATGAAAGCATTGTTGTGTCCAACTCATTTCTAATTCTTCCTGCCTCTCTAGATTATGTCACTGGAGTTCCTAGAGGGGAGAAGGCTCTCGGTTATGTGAGTTTTATACTATTTTTGGTCAGGAATCTGATGAGAACCCATAAAAGTGATGCAACTCTGCTTGAAACAGCTTGCATGAATCTCTGTCTGGTTTTGTCTTGTTAGGTCAACATTTTCAATGGGAAGAACATGGAGTCTATGTATAATTTCACAGGCACACAGGTGAGCATTACAAAAGTGTTTGTTTTACATTGTGATGTGTGGTAAATGACAGGATAAGAGCATATATGAGCAGTCTTGCCTGTGAGCAGCCTGCAGGTCACATGACATGCCTGTGCTCGTGGTCATGGCACAGTTATGTTCAACATTTGTTTACGAGCAACAAGTTCATGTCCTAAATCCACTCCCACATCTGGAAGCTATTGACAGCGGTGTCGCAAACACACGAGAGCAAGAAGGGAAAAGAGGTGTTTTGGGCTGATTGTGATTGCTTCAGTGATGATTCATCAACAGTTAATCAAGCTTAAGTCAACATGAGCTTAACAGAGATTTCAATAAGATCAAGAACTGAATCTACGTGGATATGCTGTAGGGTGCACCACCAATACCAGTGATGATAATGATATATTAGTAGTAGTAGTATCATTGACATTATGTTGGTTGATTTGAATGTTATGGCCAATAACTTTTATGTAGACCAGTATTTTACATTTTTACTGTTTTTGTTTGTCTTAAAAACAGTGTTTAGTCTAAAGCTCCAGTCTAGTCTAAATTGGCTTTTTTGTTTTTTTCTCTGTCCACCTTAGATGGCTGCTTACTTCGGTCATTCTGTAGCAGCTGTTGACATCAATAATGACGGGTAATTAATGCTTTACACTCACACACTGTTGGATGTTTTTTTCCTCAGTGTGGGTTGATGATTCTTCTTATACATTTTTGACAATCTTTTATTTTAAGAATGTGCATTCATGCACTAATGGATACTTTAAATCAGTGGTTCACAACTGGTAGGGCGTGGCCCGGTTTTGTGATGCAAAATCTCACCGAATGGACAGGAAGAATGTAAAAGAAAAAATAAATTAAATGGGCAGTGAAGAGGACAACTACTGAACTACCTACATTGTGGCAAAGTCCTTTAAACCAAAATCTCTAAAATCTTGCCCGATTGGATGGATTAATTAGAATTGCCTCACTTCCAGCTGTAGCTGTATCCCTTCTAGCCACAACCACGCGACCCGATGGGTTGTAAGTCAATTTTATGTTCAGAGCGTTCTGAATTCAGCATTTGTTGATGTAAAGCAGATCACTCTTTAAACTGGCCTTTAGGAAATCAAGCTTACAGACTTAAAGACAAACACTTTAGTCAAAAATTTAAATTGTTTATTATTTACTTAACCTCATGTTGTTTAAACCTGTATAACTTTCTTTTGTGGACCACAAAGAAGATATTTTGAAGAATGTTTCAACTGTTTGCTGCCCATACATTGAAAATCTGAGTCTAAAAAAATTTCACACAACCCATTTTTCGATATATATATTAAATATATAATAAGACATTAGAAATGAATCTAAAACAAAAAATAACTTGAATAACATTTGTATTTTTATTGTTTTTTTTCACTACATCAACCACATAACAATGCTCTGGAAACCAACAAAAGAGGGTTATTAGTTTTGAGCTTTTAGTTTTTAGTTTTTTTAAATACAGTTTTGAGCTTCTAATTTTGATTTTCAATGTACAGTATGAGGCTCTTCTCACACAGAAGTCAATTTCAAACCAAGAAGCTTTCTGTTGGTCACCGCAGCGAATTTGCGTGACCTGCTTGAACATGAGTGAAATCTGCATGGGGAACGTTTATGCCCTCGCGCAAACCTCCCAGTTGCATGGATTCCTATTGGAATGAATGGAATTTGCCCCCAAAATTTCACAGAGCACCTTAACATACATTTTGATTATTGATGCACAAATAAGCACATTACACAGCGTTACACAGGCTTTCTTACCTGGAGTATGATGTTCTAATGTTGTTGTTGTTGTTGTTGTTGCTGCAAGACTGATCTTCTGGCAGGAGCATCAGGTCAGTCTGCTGCTGTCCAGAATCAGGTGGTTTGTCTTCGTCTGGCATCTCAGCTGAGACCTGTCCTCTATGGGTGACCCTACAGTAGTTGTGAAGTACCAGTGGCGTAGCTCTCAGCATCACTGATGCACACAAGCCCTCACAGCACGTCAAGCTGCAAACCATGTGAGGGACCCTAACCTACCCTAACCTGACTGTTTAAAACAACCGCATGTCAACCAGCCACTCAAAACATCCTGACAACCACATAGCAACGCATAAAAATCAAACAGAGGAGTCCAGCAACCGCAACACAACAAGCTAACAACTGTGCAGAAATCCTTGGCAAACGCAAGTCAACGCACAGAAAACAACCAAAAACATCCCCACAACCATGTAGCAAAGCACTAAAAGCCAATTAGAACAACAGAGGACCACAAAACACTGCATTGACAATCACCAAAACATCTGAACAACAATACAGCAATGTGCTAACAACTTACTCTGCAAACTATAAACTTAATGTATAAAATAAAACTTACTCTACAAAATAAAACTTACTCTATAACTATAAACTTACTCTATAACTATGTACAATATATACAGTATTTACAAATGTAGGTCCCACTGTGTGATGCTCCATGAGACACTGTGATGACTCGGTGTTGCTCAGGCAAAGGTTCTTCACTGACGTTCACGTGGATTTGTGGAGCGAAGCTTCTGCTGCTTGTGAAGCTCTCAGTAATGAAGACGCGTCCGTCTGGCTGCTCTGGCTCCAGCAGTGAAGGGCAGCTGAGCGTCTCACACAGGCACTGCTTGATCTTCAGCCCCAGCTCAAGGCTGTAGGGACGCTGTTGACCACAGTGTGTCTTCATCATGGGCTCCACAGAGCGGTAAATGTCCTGGTAGTCCTGCACACAGCAGCCGTGGATGGAGACGGGATCTTCCTGCTGACACAGAGGCTCCAGACACTCGTCCACTGAAAAGACTGAGGCTGCTGGACGGATGTCAGGAAAGACCGCAGTTCTTCAGGTAGCGCTCTTCAAGTCTGTGAGCTTTGGCAGAGATGCAGCTGTAGGTGTGATCTAACCTGATTACAGCTGCCAGCTGTGAAAGCTCACAGGCCTCTTGAATGGAAGAGACACCCTCCACCAAGAATCCCCTCAGGTGTGTGGGAAGAGTCCTGCTTCTTCTGGGGCGACGCTGCTCCATGAAGATGCCTGGAGAAACACTTTACAGATTTGACAAATTGATGAAACTCACCCAACTGTAGAGTTGAAGAGCTTGTAGCACGTGTGATCAGCTTCAAGGCTTCAGGGACAGTTTGTTGATTTCAAAAATCAACTAAATCTGCTGTTATTGACAGAATGTAGAGGCTCATTTAAATGTAAACAACACTTGACATTCAGCAGTAAGTCAATTAGAGCAGCTTGAGCTCTATGATGCATCTATTGCCATTATCATTTTCAATTACTGTCATATATATATTCCTAATCTGTGTGTGTGTGTAGTGGTGTCTGTTAAAGGCCAGAATCATTATTAGGAACTTTTCTGTGTTAGTGGCTCATGAATGAATCACTGCTTATGAACGAATCTTTTAAGTGAGCAAAACATTCTTGTTCACGTCCTAGCACTGACTCGTATCATTTGTTCAAGTGTTTTCTTGTTGAAGTAAATGACTGCTTTGGGTTTTTTTTTTTTTTCACCCTCCAAAGACATCCAAAGCATTTCATTGGTTGGACCTACTGTATGAATGTGATTGAATGAATAGGGGGCATGTGATTTATTCAGCAAATGAGTCCATCTTGTTCATCAACAACAGAAAGGGTGTGAAAAAATGATTAACGCTAATTAAAGAGCTTTATGTGCGTTCACGCAAACCATAGGTTTTTGGGCATTTTAATTTAATGTTTTTTAGAAGCCAGTTGAGAACCACTGTTTTAAATTATATTCATGTTAGCAATTCATTTTTATGACTCTGGGCCAAGAAAACCTAGCCTAAATATATGCACAGCAATGTTTTGAGAGCATTCACTGGCATTATTTCAAAAAATGAGCTGAGATCTGAACATTGTGCAACAGTGAAGATAAAGTTCCCTACGTTTCCAGACAAGTTGCTCTCTGCCTGAACATGTTGACCATTTTTGTTCAGAACGGCCCTGTTTTTATTATGAGGTAGTTTTCATCAGCTTATCTTTTTTTAGTTCTGTGCATTTATTACTAGCACTTTCGAAGTTTGTCATTTATTCAGCAGAATCTTCCAGCTGTTTTATGCTGGTTGATAAGCGTAACTGCAAAATCCCAAACACAACCTATGCTGATCTTTTCAAAATCTTTTATTTCCCCCTTCAGGAAGATGGATTTGTTGGTGGGAGCTCCTCTGTTCATGGACCGTGGCTCAGATGGGAAGCTGAGGGAGGTGGGTCAGGTCTATGTCTACCTAGGCAAAGGTGGCTTCACTTTCAACAATGTCATCAAACTCACTGGTTCTGAGATCTATGCTCGATATGGAAGCTCCATCTGCAGCCTGGGAGACCTCAACATGGATGGATATAATGGTACTATTTTGTCTTTCTTCTACATATTTTCCCGGTTTTCTGTGCTGTTCTTTCAGGACCCAACCTAGCTTGCAACACTGACGAACATACAGTACATATTTAGTCATTTGTGGTCATGGTCTGATGCTGTTGTCACTGTCTTCCTTGCCTCATTGTGCAACAGTAATCATGACTTATGAGCTTTTTGTGCAAAGGCTGTACAAGCAGATAAAAACAGTACTGCCCATGGCAGTTACTCAATAACCACGACTTAAAATGGTTTTATTTTTAATCCCTTTGTTTTTTCTCAGATGTGGCCATTGCTGCCCCATATGGTGGGCAGTTCCACCGTGGCCTGGTGTACATTCATAACGGGCGTCCCACAGGGCCCAATCCTGTGGCCTCTCAAGTTCTGGAAGGAACATGGGCGTCTGCTTCTATGCCTTCTAGCTTTGGTTACGCCATGAACGGAGGCACAGATGTCGATCAGAATGGATACCCTGGTTAGATTCCAGCACATTCACACATCTTTTGCAATTAACTGATTACAGTCACTTCAATTCAAAGCTACTTCCTCTCCTACACTTCTACCGCCACTCATTCTTTTTCTCTCACACTCTCTCCTCTTATAGACCTGATTGTTGGGGTGTTTGGCGCTGACAAAGCTGTTCTGTACAGGTACAGAATGCTTATGCTTCACTTTGAACTCACACATGCGTTTGATTGACTTTTATGATCAGGGCCGGATAAGCTATTAAAGGTGGTCTCATTTAATTCAGCAGTATTTAATTTGCTTTATGTGCAAGTAGCAAAAGCAGTTACAGGCTGTATAAAAAGAAAATCACAGTGAAACATTTGTCATCATCTATTTTTGTACATTAAAGACCACCGGGCTTAGATTTCCATTGTATTACACATACTGTGTAAGCCAAAATGTACAGTCAGCTCATCATTATTGCACAATAAGCTCTGAGTGTTAAAAAACAGTGATCAAAAGTTTAGTCATACAGTGTGAAAAACTCCCTTCCCAGTCCATCTAG